ACGCCTCTAAAACATCACTTAAACTTGATGGAACTCCAGGTGGCTGTTGCTATTCAGCATTATGTCCTCATAGTTAGTGTCTGCACTCGTGATTCCTGGTTTTGTAATTTTTGCTAGTAACACGACATGATTTATCTGTCACAAGCATGATTCTGGCTGTCTGCTCATGCAATGCAGGATCTCCTGCAAATATCTATGTGCAGTATCGAATCTGACATCTGTTGTGTGAAGCTATTAGCTTGGGAAGTATTCACGCTCAACGTTCAGCAGTTATTCGACCACTTTCTTGGAGTCATTTATCGAAGAAATAGTGTGAACATGCACATTCCAGCTTTCCACGCATGTCATTCGAATCGCCCGACCCTCCTCTCTCCCATCCCCCGAGCTGGCTATACTCCCCAGACTCATGGATTCCTTATTCTGCATTGATGTCATCACTAGTATTTCGCTGAGAGGGTAGAGACAAGCAGCGCGCGTCTTCGCCGGAAGCCCCTCCCCTCAATTAGCGTTGTACCCTTGTTTTGCCACTTTTCAGTTTTGAGTTCCGAAAAACGCACCTCGTGGGACAAGCTGACGCGCTTGCGCGTCAGGCAAATCGCGCCCGCCAAACTGCCCATGTCCCATGCGGCGGAAAAAGCCAAAACCTGCGCTGTCGTCAACGTGTTAAGCATTTTACACTTCTGTCTTATACAGTGTACTTTGAATAAATAAATAAATAAATAAATTTAGGAATATCCAGCTCTGCTGAAATATGCTATGCACGCCTCCAAGACATCACTTAAACTTGATGGAACTCGAGGTGGCTGTTGCTATTCAGCATTATGTCCTCATAGTTAGTGTCTTGCACTCGTGATTCCTGGTTTTGTAATTTTGCTAGTAACACGACATGATTTATCTGTCACAAGCATGATTCTGGCTGTTCTGCTCATGCAATGCAGGATCTCCTGCAAATATCTATGTGCAGTATCGACGAATGACGCTTATTATGAAATCATGACAAGTGCTTTTTGCAGGTTAATTTTCTTTTCAGTTTGTTCACTACGATATAAAACTGAGTACTTCTATAGAGACCCATTACATAATCTTCATTCCGATATGTTCGTCAACGAGGTAAGCAAACCAGCCCTTTTGGCGTTTCGGCTGGGACCGTATGCTGAATGTTGGGGAGGGGATGGGGTCCCCAACGGTCGACGGTTTACTTCAACTCGGTTGGTACGATAGGAGAGTACTGACGCAAGTGGTGCAGCTGGTCCAGCAGCTCCGCCAGAAGGGCTGGTTTGCTCACCCCAGGACTAAGCCTTGGAGAGGGGACGGACCCGTCTCTTTAAGGCTTAGTTCTGAGGTAAGCACCAAATTGTGGCGGTTCTAAGGACCGAGTTGAAGTGGTCCGTCCACCGTCGGGGACTCCATCCCCTCCCCAACATTCAGCATACGGTCCCAGCCGAAGCGCCAAAAGGGCTGGTTTGCTTACGTCTTCGCAACTAGCATCCCTCACAAGAGTGCGAGAGTGCAGAGTTTCTCTTTGATGTCCCTAAACACGCTGACGGCACCTGAGTCTTGAAACTTTGTTGTCACACATCTCCTGCTCCTGGAGACTGAGCCAATTTGTAACATAAGATGATCTACCCTCTCGGGGAGCGAACAAGTGTTCCAGAGTTGACACATTTTACATGAAAGATTCGAAAAATGACATTCATTAGTGAATATGAATCTATGGAGCTTACACGAAAAGCACTCCTGGGTCGAATGAAAAGTGGCTCATGTTTGCACTGTTACCGTCACTTTTCGCCACCTTTCTAGCAATATTTATTCAGGTCAGATGAACATGGCGAAACAGTGGTGAAGGACAGGATAAAAGCGCTGTTGTTCAATAGCGTGGCATGTCGTCCACTCGCTTGTTGTGTCCATGGCATCCTGAATAACTTTGCTTGAAGTACCGAATATTTTTGAAGGGTACTACCTTCTGTTTTCCTTTCTATGCGGTGTGCCTTCTTTTTGTGTTGACTTCTGAATGCATCCTTACCATTCTGCTGATTAGTTGCTCGTATACCATACAGTGCCCGTGTGCGCCAGTCCAATCCATGTGCGCCAAATCCATTCATGTAGTTCATGGAAGTGCGTTCTCTCATACAGGTGAAATTCGAAGAGTACGGTACACAAAATGACGGATACACCCATCATAATTTCATACAATTATGAAAAAATATGGATGTCGCATATTGGCGAAAATTTCTATTATTCGATAACTTTTCTTAGAGTTTCCTAGTTGAAATAATACGGAATTGCATGTAGCGCTCACTACTTGCCTGCTCACAGTGCTACACGACGGATAGGAGATCGTTGATAGGTTATTCATTCACACTATTCAAGAAGAGGTCGCAAAAAGAGGTCTCAATTTCTTAATTAGTGTGGAATAACCGGCTAAGACAAAATCCACCGCATGGGACGAATCCATGGGAACAACGCCGATTATGGCCTTCCTTGCGGCGCTATCGGCGCAGTACGACCACTCTCGCTGTCTGAGCCTTTAACCATTTGGCAGAGAGAGCGTTAGCGCTGAAGGCGGCAGCACCGGTGAGAGAGGCATCAATGCGGAAATCAACGGGCAAGGAAGGGATCCTATTCTTCGAGATCCAGGCCGCTTTCTTGGTTTTTCCTTGTCGTGCACCACTTCTGATTCGTCTGATTCGTTTTCCAGTGGACTGCCTTTTCATCATGAAATCTTTCCTTGGCTATGGAGGATCTTATTTAGAGCATGTTAGATGGGGATCGCTATTGTCAGGAACGCCACCACATCTCGGACAGCGGCCCTTCATTTGGTAGACTGTTCGTGATACAGTCCATATCCGCAGACAGGTGGGCGGGGCCACAGACGTAATTGCGGACTACACAAATTTCTACACAACAAATAGAACACATAGAAGAAGCTGTGATGAAGAACAAGTCGAAAAGAAAAAGGATCAACGCCAAATAAAAATAAAACTTACCAAAAGAGCAGCGGCTGCAGCATGACCTGGAAAATTGCATGCACAAAAGCGACGAGTTGCTTCAAAACAGCGTCAAATAGTGTTCTACATATAACAGAGAACACATAAAAGAAGCTGTGATGAAGAACAAGTCGAACGGAAAAAAGGTGAAATGAAAAATAAAAAAGAAATTCAGCGGTTACAACAGCTGCATGCAAAACAGGCAGCAAATCGTGCAATTCAATCGAACAAGAGCATTATTTTTCATGAAACTTACCTGCCTCCTCTGAAACGAACCTGACGAAGCAGAATAGTACCATAGAGAATAAGGAATTACTGCAGGAAAAAAAGAAAAAGCAAAAGCAAATTGAGATCGGCCCTCAATAAAAGTCGTTCTTTCGAATGCATCGCTCTGACCGCTGGGTCACCTAACCACATGCGGCAACAAAAATCCTTCGTAATCTGGTTCGTAGCTTCTCGGTAGAGATGTATGGAAGACAGAAGAGGTTTGAAAGAGGTGTTGCATATCTCATTTTGAACGCCCACTCTAGCCCGAAATCCTTTTCTTGGCGTTGTATTTTGCTGAACTTGTTTGGGAATTTTCCTACAAACACTGTTATTTTCGTCATTTCTCTCCCTAAGACAATGTTTTGTGATAAACTGAGATCTGTATACCGTACTGTAGTAACATTCCTGTTCTCTGATTAATTACAAGTCAATACAATAGACGATGGCTAAAAAACCGTTCAAAATTTTCAGTGAGCAGCTGCTATGAATTGGAGTCCAAGGTGTGGTATAGGCATGCTGCGTGCCTTCCTTCTGAGCGCATTGATACTGCGGGTAAGTTTGGTTATGACGCCCTGAAAGGTTGATGCCTTATTGGACTGACTCACGATCTAATACACCTAGGAGAATTTTAACCATCAAAACAAGAGCCCAACCGCTACAGTGGCAGTTGGGTCTCATACGCATAACATGTATTACCGGGAGCTAAATCATCAAGTATGTATAGGTACACTTCAAGTGTAGGAGATTTCTTTTTCATTTCGGAAAATTCCGCAAAATGAACATCTGCTTCGAGTAGGTTTCCTGCTCAGTAGTTTAAGCTTCTGTGCATGGAAACTTCGAAAATGGTCCCGTTGAGGATTTTGGCCTGTGTATCGTCACGTGGTTCTCCTCCGTTACATTGGCACTCCTCTAACGACTATAGCTCCTTCCACGGATATTTTGTACAAAAATGAGTGAAACTCTAGTTCGGGGGACCACCTCCTGTTATCTTGTCCGAAGTACTAGAGAGCACTCCTTTGAGCTTCAAAACTATGGATAACGAAATAGGTTCTCACCCGGTAAGGGACATACGATTTAGAGCATTTGAAACCACGGAAGCATATATTTTTGTAAACGTTCAGGACTAAGCCTAGAAGGGAAGGAGCCCCCGGGTCCGTGAGCAATCTTGGTTTTCCCCGGGGGACTTCCTCCCCCCTCCTAGGCTTAGTCCTGACCTGCTGACTAGGTGAATATTACTTTTCGTAGACGTTAATGTCATCTAGTACAAGAATACATACATTACACAAAACACCTGAAGAAATAACATAGGAATAAAGCTTATAACAGCTTGTAAGGGCGGAAGTGGTGTAGTGGCAAGTGGCACGCTTACCACGCGAGCGGTCCGGGGATCAAATCCTGGGTCGTGAGTCGCCCGGGCCAACCAATCCCTCCGGGGTCGGTTAATTGGTACCAGACTTGTCTGGGAGGATAAAAACACTGACTTGTACATCGGCTGGCCCCCGCAAGTCATTGTATAGGCCACATCGCATTCAAACGCCACTACGAATGTACAAATGGAAGTAGAATGCGTGCCGCATCCCAAAAGGGATTGATCAACGGCAAATGCTTTATCCTTTTATCCTTTATTACTTACTGCTACTGTACTCAAGAACTTCCTGAACCAAATTGGAATTGGACCAGACAGTGCACCGCAATGCCGCTTCTTAGCGGATGATATAATAGGTTAAGGACTCATTTCAAGTGCTCTCTTGGTAAGGACCGGTGTATGCCCTACATCACGCACATCCTGCTCACATCCTAGGCAATTTATGGCATGTGATCGTCCACCCTGGGCTCCTACACCCTTGCGCCTAGGAAAGGATGTCCATACCCTAGTTCAGGACCATTTCCTTGGACCACAGCAGGCCGAAATCTGAAAGCACCTTAGGAGTACTTCCACACTACACCGGTCTTATCAGAAACAATTTCAAACAAGTCGATTACCTGTCAGGAAAACTCTTACCTTATCCCTAGTATGGAGAGCACAATGGAATGCCCCCTCCTCTGACCTGGAATATCGCCTAGAAATGAAAACAGATTCGGAACCAACAAGCTTTTTTCGTTTCAATAATTTGAACAATTTCCAACTTGTACGATTATTTGTCTATAATTTGACGCTGAAAACACCAATTATTTTTGTACTGTATGCCAAACGAGATTTTTAAGATGGAATCTTTATTTACTGGCCTGGCGAGCTTCTGAAATCAAAAGCTCAGACGTATAGCTCAGGCCCTCTGGAGAAGAACGAGCGGATCGGAAAAGTCAGGCAGAGTAAATAAATAATTGCATCTTTGAAAACATACGGGTTGGCATAAGCGACGAAAACATTACAGTACATTCAATCAAATGCCGAGTTCCAAGAAAGGACGACTTGGGAGACTGCTTGATAGAAGACACCACTTGTTTCTCGAAAGGGGATGAGATTCGGCCCTGTCTTTTAGCACGTCTCTATCAGAATACTCTTTGATTTTGCCTGGACTCGTGATGACTTGTAGGGAACCGTAGTTGGAGCGCGCCCAACTGATTTGACCTCCACTGGGATGCGCCGTGCGCTTCACATTCCTACATGCTGGTGGACTCATTTGAAAGATAGAATATCCGTCGGACAACGTGCAATTTTTGGACCCTTCAACCTTATCGTAACAAATCAGGGAGGTAGCTTAGAATGACTGCGCGAACCCCTTTGAACAACGAAAATTTTATGAGCGGAATAATATTGTTATTGGAAATCCTCTGGCCAAGCTTGCACAGCATCGATCACTCCTTGATGTTTGTCCTCCAACATTGATGACCCTACTGCATCAATTCGGTCCAACCTTTCCCCTAGCGGGCCAAATACGACCCCCCCCCCTTGTCGAGGATTCCTTATCGCACGCTTGACCCCAGTGTTGACTCGCGGATCGAATTGTTGAAGTTGTTTGTTTGAAGTCTTGTGGTTGAAGTCCGATGCAGAGCTCACTGGTAGGATTGGCTAACTAATACCTCTAATCTATATGCAGTGAATTATTAATTGTGGTCGATATCGAAATTGAAGTAATGCACGAAGCAACCAAGTTTGGGTCGACCGCCGAAAGGTGCTTTCGGAAGATAATGAATGAAATTTTGCAGTGTGTCATGCGGGCAAGGCCAAATTACCGTGAAGTTCGTTTGAAGGGAATTTTCAATTTCATGGACTACCATACTGGGTGAGAAATGTCAAAATAGCTCGAAAAAAGGACGTTGTCATAGTTGATATACCGTTTCGAGCTTTCTGGTTCAAACTAGGCCACTATTATTTCGCTACCGTATTTATGCCTAACCTGTAGGGGCTTTCATGTCCACAGATTCTTTTTGGGCGAAGCTACTGGAAAACTTGTCGAAGCGTTTCTCACAAAGAACTGTCTTAATCATTAAATTTTTATAGCTGTTGCGTTTAACCCTTTGGGACAATGGCACCCACCAGTGGGTGGCACCATTATACACTGGTGTGCAAAACTTAAGGACGAACCTAAATTTTCCGTGACGTATTATTGCCGAGTAAAACAGCTCTATGGAACCTAACCACACATGTAAGAAACTGCTCCAGTATAGTACAAAAAGCAAATAATAGGAACCCTTAAAAGGTCCACAAAGCTATAAATAAGTTAGGATTACTTTTTTGGTTTACAAAATGTTCTAAAGTAGTACTAATTTATTACGAAGAATGTTAGTATGCGGTATCGAGATCGGGTGGAGGTCAACTTTGTTTTGCTTATATGCCGAGTGAATTATGATCGAGGGACTTGTCTTTCATTAGTCTCCAGACAGGAGGGGTTAGAACTGATCGAAGTGTATATTGAAAATGTCTAGAGTTTTCACCTTCTTTTGAAATGGGGCGGAAGTAGGTGTAGTGACAAGTGGCGGCCTTAAGGGAGCGATCGGGGATAAACTGGGTTGAGTCGCCGGAACAAGGTTCATCTCGGGTGTCCCAGTGAGATTAGACCAGTTGTCTGGAAGGATAAAAACTGACTGGGAATCGGTGGCCGGAAGTATTTAGGGAGGCAGTAGCATGCAATGATGGAGATGTAAATGGAAGTAGAAGAACAGTGGATCCCAAAAAGGGATTGAATCAGACGGCAATGCTTATTGTAGGTGGGTATTTCTCTTTTGGAATCCAAGTTCTTTCGCTATTCCACCTATTCAACATAAATTTTCGTAAAAGTTTAGCCGTTCGTTGGATTTCACTATACTGCCGAGTCCCCAAAGCTACAAAAGAAATCTGCTTTTAAGGGCTTTTGCTCGAAGTTGAATGATTTCGGCGCGCCAAAAGAGGCGTGGTCCCACGAGCCCGCTAAGCGCAAATCCTCATTGTCGTCAAAAGGTTAAGACAAGATGAACCCGTGCTACATGAATCATATATAAATTTATTCGAAACGATGTTTCGGAAAATATAATACATTTGTAGTGTGCATCAAAATTGGCAACAATGAAGAATTGAGCGGGGACTAACTCATCTAGCCGTTCTGATGGGAGAAAGAAGAGAGCACAAGTAAGAAGTGATCACAATCATGAGCCAAAACACATGAAGGAATGGTATCATAGAAACCATACATCTGTGTGATCCTTAAGAAGATTCCAATCCCAAGAAAAAAGATGCATAGTGTAAAATTAAGAATAATTATTAGTCACTCATCCTGAGAGTGATTCTTGCCATTCGTCCATTTACTGTTTCCAATCTCTGACGTTGGCTGAAAAATTCACCTTAGTCGCTTACAGATTTGAAAGGTGTACGTGGTAATGGATTCGCTGCAATGTGAAGTAGGGTGTGGAAGTGTAAGACGATATCATTAGTATGTATTAGGGTGTCACAGAAGTTTCGAGGAAATTCTGCCTAGTGATTTCAAAAACGTGTAGCATAGCCCTTGAGGGAACATGTTTAATTGGCGATTGTTTGAAATGTGCCTCGCGATTATCTCAAGAAATAGTCAGTGGGAACTCCTTATTGGAGACTAACACTTGCTATCTGTGTAATAATTATGGAACCGCATTTCTCAAAAAAGTTCCCATCATGGCCTTCTTTCGTGGTCCCTTAAGCAATCAATAGGAAAAATTCTAGGACAAGATCGGAGATCGGAGAGAGGGAGATGTAACTAGAGGAAATGCAGGCGGGCCTCGGTGCAGGACGTGTGTGTTTCGCAGTAAAAGGTATGCCTCAGCGGTATTACAGTACCTTACCCGCGCCGCTCGCACTGCAGCACGCCAAAAGACAGGCAACCCCTCTCCGTCCGGTTCAAGCCGTTAAGCGGATGAGCGTTCGCGCTGATAAGGTCAGCATAGATGAGAAACGTCTAACGCGTGCATCGGCGGAGAAGGGGTGCTTTTTCTGGGTTCTGGTTTCCTTTACCCCTGCATCACTGACCACCTCTGTCTAGTCTTTTCATCGTGAACTCCCTCTAGGGTGGACAGTGGATTGAGCCAATTGCGGCCACCAGAGGGCCTGAACGCAAGCGACTACTAAATATGGCTTACTAGCAACCGAGGAATTATCTATCCATTCGCGTTTAACAATTCATTAAAACCAATACAAAAGTAACTAGGCAATGTTGCGCATAAGAGCCGCACTACTTCGCTGTATCACAGCTATCTCTTCCTCCTATCTCTTATGTCATGATATGTTATTACTGTTAACTTGACCAAAAGCTTCAAGAAGCATTTAACAGGAACAATGCCTGGCGCATTGATGAATCACATCCATTCAACGAATTTCTTGTGATCTGGAGTATAATTGTCAAACAATTCGCTCACTTTTCGCCATCAGATTTGGCAGGTATGACTTCCAAAATGCGCACTGTTCCCGTCGTGGACCATGACCAGTTCTTTGTGAAGTTGGATACGCCGATTCAACAGTCATGTTCATGTATTCCATAGATTCACCATTATACTTGGGCCAAACATCCGTTGTATACGTACCATCCTCGTTTTTATTTGGATCACTGGAAGAAACTTGATCATTGCACTGCATGTGGAATTAACATCAATGATAATTCAAAGCCATCATTAGAGGGTAATCGCTGTACACGTCACACCAAAAGTTGGCAATGACTGACGCAGACTACAAAAGTCTTATGTCTCGCAGGGGTGAGTACGGTAGTTGAGAAAAGTTTCATAGTCCAAATGATTCCGCCTCAAGAGATTCTGGCATACTTTCAGGACAACTCACCCAGTTTTGGCGAAATTCGCCCAGTAGCGCATGAATCGGCTGCTCAGCTCCTGCTCTTCAGTGGAGTAGTTGAACTTTTTATTGAAAGGTTCACCGAAAACAAAATTAATCTCATAACCATGTAAGCAGCCCATCCATTCTGGCCAAGTTTGCGCTGTTGCCCTGCAAAGCTGTCATCGTGAGCAGGAAAAAATTCAAGACACAACCGCAAATTTTTCGTCACACCTGTGCGTGAAGTAGTAGTAATACGTGTCTCCACCATGCTTCGAGTGGGCCAGAGCCATCTCGTTCACATTGCAAGTAAGTGGTAGTCGCCAAGCATCTTCTCCATTGAATCCAACCACTCACGTGCTTGAACTAAACACATCCACTCCTAATGAATAAATCGTGTTGCAGTTAAAGCTTTGTTGGTCGCACTCATCCCAATGTAAATTCATAGTGTGGACAGAAACCGTTTCCAAAGCGGAACAAAGAAACAGTCAGAATCACTCGGCAGAAACCTATGCTTTGTGTAATCCTAAGACCGACGTCACACTCGGCGACGGACAGTTGCTCTGCCGAGAACGATTTGGCACGCGATCGTTCCATCGCTTGTCCGTCGCCGAGTGTGACGTCGGTCTAACGGATAGTTTCGCGTACGCGACGGTTTTTCCGGCGCGCGTTGCACACCTTGGCTCTCTCTCGCTCCACGTCCGTTTACGACAGGAACGCGCGGCTCTAGGAGCGTGTTCCGGCGGTGACCCGCTCCCACCGGCCACCGCTCGTCAGGGATCGCCTCTGCGGATTGAGAACATAACTTTAGGGGTAGCTCAGCTTCGGCTAGCGAGGCTAAAGGCGGCACATGAAGTACCTTCATGGGTACGCTGCAATGCGGCTGGCACTGTGGCGGCTTGCCGGAACCACGCTGTTGTGCGTTTTATATCGGTTCGCCCCGCTAGGCCCTATGGTGTAATAGGCCTGCCGGACATATGAGAGCAGGGAGGCCAGATCGTTCTGTGGATAAGACTTGGTAATGGGGAGTAGTTGTTTTGTTAGCTATGTTTTCTTTCAAATAGAGAGAAGGGGAACCGAGAACCCGATCGCAGCCTCAGGGAGGGAACCTGGGGGCGGTTTCGGGGAAGATGGATACGCTTGCCCTAAAGGTTACGTGGCAGTGTGTAATTACTAGACAACTTTCTTCTTTTAGTAGAATTTTCATTTCACTACTGCTTCATCAGGTGCAGCCACCTACTGCACATTTCCTCAACATGACTCAGTTAGTTTCACGGCACAATGGATTTCTCCAAAGAACTTAGGCCGCCTCGGCCAATGCGAAGATCGAAGAAGGAGTGTAAGGAAGAGATATTCACGCAGTTCGGCCCACGAACCCTTTGAAAACCCTTTCCTTACCGAATTCGTGTAGTTTCTGTTAAAACGCTCAATGAAGGATTTATGCGGGTGGTAATTCTAGCAACAGAAGAGGGCGGAAGTGGTGTAGTGACAAGTGGCGCGCTTACCACGCGAGCGGTCCGGGGATCAAATCCTGGGTCGTGAGTCGCCCGGGCCAACCAAGCCTTCCATCCCTCCGGGGTCGGTTAATTGGTACCAGACTTGTCTGGGAGGATAAAAACACTGACTTGTACATCGGCTGGCCCCCGCAAGTCATTGTATAGGCCACATCGCATTCAAACGCCACTACGAATGTACAAATGGAAGTAGAATGCGTGCCGCATCCCAAAAGGGATTGATCAACGGCAAATGCTTTATCCTTTATCCTTTTTTCCACGTGCTTTTCTAGATAGCTGGAGTGTCCTGGACCTCTTCGGCCATACACTAAAGGACCTGGCTGGAATATACCAAAACCCAATCACCACGATCGATCAAGTGAAGAACAGGTGTTGTAAAAGCGAAAGCAGGCGTCAATAGCAGCTGTTACTGTAGCAAACATGATCCTCCAGCTACTACGTTGTCCAGTGAAACGAGCAAATTTGGCTTAACGGACACACATAGACCAGGCAAACACTTTTGTCTCCATCAAGGTTTCCGTTGCAAATCGGTGGCCAAGCCATGAGCAAAGTCATCATGAGAAGATAGTGACGTCCACTGAGGGCTTTAAACGATCAAATGTGACTGTGCTCCAGGAAAAGAAGCCACTAAGCCTTTCTGCACTGACCATGTATAGAACACACTACTGATCGAAAAATGCTCTACAATTCTTAGGTTATTTCACTACTCAGGTGAAACTGGACTCGGTCAATAGGGGTACCCCCCAGGAGGCCCGTCGCGCGCAAGAAGGCAGAGTCGGCGGACGAGTTGCAGCGCGTGATGTGCGATGTAGGACGTGCAATGGGACACTCTATTTAACTTGACGCGAAATCCCTATAGTACGCGTCGTCGTCCGCTGACTTTGCCTTCTTGCCGCGCGACGGGCCTCCTGGGGGGTACCCGTCCAATTGGGTTCATGCTATCGCGATAGTAACAAAAAGGAATACCTGGTCGCTTTGTTGGCTCATACTCATGCAGTATCGCTGCCAGAGCCGGGTAGTTCTCTAGTCATCTGTTGTGGCAGCAGATCCAAGATGCCTTTCAGCCATGTTTGTCGGTCCGGCACGAAGTTTCTTCTTGTGAAAAAGTTTTTAACCGGAAAGATGTCCTGTAACAGACTCACTCATCAAAACAAGGAAAACTCTTCGAGATTGTATAGTGGAGTACTCATAAAACTCACCGCCAACTGGTAAACGATGAAGTACATGCTCTCATCAAGATTGCTACCAGCCAAAAGTTGAGTGTGTTTGAAGTTACCTGCAGATCGATCATATTTTAGGTGAACATGGGAAAATCTCATGGAAAGTTCGATTTTTGTTTTATTGCTACATGTGTAAAACTCGGTCAGAAATGACAGAAAGTAAATTTAGCCTGGAAAGCGTGGCAGGTTAATAATTTTCATGATGCCAGCAGAGTGCCTTCCAGTGCTTCATGTCCAGGCGTTAGTTATACTACTGGATATGTTGGCCGAAAGGACGAGGTTAGGATATTTGCACAGATCAATGTCTTCCCCCCACCAGCGCAAGCAATTCGACGTAAGCAAACCAGCCCTTTTGGCGCTTCGGCTGGGACCGTATGCTGAATGTTGGGGAGGGGATGGAGTCCCCGACGGTGGACGGACCACTTCAACTCGGTCCTTAGAACCGCCACAATTTGGTGCTTACCTCAGAACTAAGCCTTAAAGAGAGGACGGGTCCGTCCCCTCCAAGGCTTAGTCCTGGGGTGAGCAAACCAGCCCTTCTGGCGGAGCTGCTGGACCAGCTGCACCACTTGCGTCAGTACTCTCCTATCGTACCAACCGAGTTGAAGTAAACCGTCGACCGTTGGGGACCCCATCCCCTCCCCAACATTCAGCATACGGTCCCAGCCGAAACGCCAAAAGGGCTGGTTTGCTTACCTCCAAGAATTATTGCACGAGGACGCACGACGTGTCCTTTCGACATCGCTAGCTCGCTAACCGCTCTTATTTACCGGTAAAGATGGTCGGCTATGGGAACGGTGAAGAATATTCAGCTCTTCTCAGCTTTTTTGTAGTTTGACGTCCTTTCCCAGGAAGAGCAGCTTACGGGTCTGTGATTGATTTCAACTTACTAGCACTCGATGCTGTAGGCAGTCTCTGGGGTTTCCATATTACCAAGAGCGTATGTATGCTATACCGCTAGATCCTGAGCTGTAGAGCAGTCAAGAACACACACACTCTCCCTCTCACTTCTCCATTCTTGTTGCCTGTGGTCCCTTCAGTCTGCTTCAAGATCTTTTGGGTAATAGCGTTGCCATTCAGAATGGTTGGTATAGTGAGGTAATTACCCCACAAAGTCGGGGTAATTGAAATGACAAGAGGAAAAGCCTCCAAATCGAAAAGGATGCTCTTGGATTTGTGCACGCATTACAAAGGTTATAAAATTAAGTATCCATGTTCGACTGTCAGTAAATCTTGGCATGGCTTGTAGTTACATATTTCGATGAGGTTTGTTGAAACCGCAACCAAGATGTTAGTAACCTTTATCAGGCTTACGTTTCGGCCTTGTCGCCTTCGTCAGAGCCTGGAAAGTCAAAGATCAGTGCGATTCATCCTCAAACACCATTTCAAACTTCAAGAACCGTCCCCTAGACCCAGTGGCTCTAGAAAGGCATCGCAATGGTTATAAAATTGCTGTGGAGTGCCACAAGGAATCACCATGAGGGCGTGTTTTTCATTAAAAGGAAATGCTGGAAAGTTGCAAAATATTACTCCATATAATTTTACCACTTTCATCCCAAGATTCATCTTAAGAATGTGCATCATACGGGATGTTATACGTTTTCATCTCCAAGATTCATCTTAAGAAGTGTACAGGATGTTTATAGCGGTTGGTATCTGAATTATCACAAGCAATTACGAGATGAATAGCATAAAATAATGTTGCTCAAAAGTGTGCTGCCTCAACGCAAACTATTTTCCAGCATATCATTTTAACAGAAATCTCATGAGCTCTCACCTTGTTCTCAGCGACGTCTCCGGTGTCTCAATCAAGAAGTCACCGTCCACAACTGGAACCCATGGAAAATCGGCGAATTCATAAACAGGTGCCCACTCGTTGTCCCTAAAAATCTCTTGTGTGCAGTGTTCTCATATGACATCTTAAAGGAATCGTCCGAAATCAGGATTTTTGATTTTATCTGACCCAAAAATCACCGGCTTCAAACCTAACATTCGTGATAAGAGCGAAAAGAACAAAAAATGGATTTGTTCTGATAAACAATTCGGGAGACCGGAAAGACTCTTACGTGTTCAAATTCCCGTCGTACATCGGTCACAAATGTAGGCGGCGGAAACGCCTCCACTCGTTCCCGGAAGTACATTCGCTATACTTTTTTGGCCTTTCCCACCTATGGCAATAGCATTGCTTTTCTACTGCATCATATTCTTTCGATCGTTGGGTCTCTATTTTCCTAATTCGAACGCTTTAAAGGATTCTTATCATACATTGCCTGATATGTGACTACCCAAGGCGACGTAAGCAAACCAGCCCTTTTGGCGCTTCGGCTGGGACCGTATGCTGAATGTTGGGGAGGGGATGGAGTCCCCGACGGTGGACGGACCACTTCAACTCGAACCGCCACAATTTGGTGCTTACCTCAGAACTAAGCCTTAAAGAGAGGACGGGTCCGTCCCCTCTCCAAGGCTTAGTCCTGGGGTGAGCAAACCAGCCCTTCTGGCGGAGCTGCTGGACCAGCTGCACCACTTGCGTCAGTACTCTCCTATCGTACCAACCGAGTTGAAGTAAACCGTCGAACTTCGTATAGTATGCTATACGAAGTTATTATGCGAGCGACGAGCGCCTCTATGAGTGTGACGCATCGTCCGCACTGCGCTGATAAAGCTTTAGAAATTTCTGTCAAAGTAATCATTTTGATCATTAATCAGTCCTCAATCGATTTCCAGTAGTTTGTAACCTTTCTTTGTAAATTGGAACGATCCTAATCTTTTTTCAAGACACTACATGAAAATCAAGCAGATCTGAACATCTATTACCTCAAAAGGCTTGCGTTGGCTCGTAGGAAGCAGTCGAGAAATCTTGTCATAATCGGGATTCTGCAGGCTCATGTCACCACATTTCATCGCATTGTAGAGTACAACTGCACGTGCCAGTGCCACATCACGTGGTTCAGTTGCCCAAGGTGCTGTTACAGAAGCGGATTGGATAATAGCTCTCTGAAACATGTCGGGTTAGCAGCTTGATCAGTTTACATCTCTGCACATGACTTCCAAAGATAGCTTCACCACTCGTTTATCATAAACTTTCTAGAGCTTAAAAAGAACAGTACTTAAGAATGCTACGAAAAATAGGGAGCTGTACTACAGGAGTAGAACAACATGCAGAGAATGCAAGAAGTGAGAATCTAAACCGTTTCTTCAACTCGACTGAGATCCAAAAACGTTCCCCTTTCGAGAGAAGGGTTTAGACGATTCGTTGGTCTAGATGGAAGTAGAACTATTCTTCAGGTCGGAGCACAATGAAGGCAAGTCGAGGCTCTCAACGTTGATGAATAGAAGCTGATCTTGACGGTTCGACACATCTACGACCTACATGGGTACCTGTGCTGTTTTGTAAGAATACATGGGGTAGGATGTTCTTGCAAGCTACTATGCTAATTGCTGAAGTTATACGATGCAGGTCATCAAAGCAACATTTCGATGACCCTCACTTTCATATCTCCTTTACCCAAAGCTGCGAAGCGCTGAAGTGAAGCGGTCACCTTAGCGGGCCACAACGAGAATACTTATTTCTCCAGGAATTGATTGAATAACCCATTCTCACCCGAAAAAACAACCTTGTTTTTTTGCGGGGAAAAATTTTTTTAAATTTCTAGCTATTTTTTGTGGTGCGATTGTAACGCAGGCTCAAAGTTGTCAAATCGTTCGCTACGTTCAACGCCACGAATTGAAATTGTGTCTTCTCGTAGTAGCCAGTAAGCCTTGGGTCGTCGTTTGTTATTTCCTGACAATGTCGCTGCTTCTTTGCACACTCTCCAGCTAATTCTTTTGAGACAGAAACGCGAAACGACAAAGAAAATACGCGCTACTCTGATTTCAAGAGGAAGTACTTTTGGGATGCCTTCATAGCTTTGCTCTAATCATTAATAGAACTTTTTTTCTGAATGGTGGGAATTTGTAGAATATCTGAAAATATAGGAGCTCTTCAATCACCTATGAATAGAGCAAAGGACTTTCCCTTCCGAGCACAACGAAATGCATAAACCTGGTTTTTTCTCCAGCAGACGGATACAAAACTTTCCAAAAATTCAGTTCATAGGATGAGTTTCTAACAAATATCAAGTTTCACTGTCAGGTTTGTGTTCCTTGTTATGTAATTTTCATTTTTCACAGGTAACCTTATAATTATGAAACGACCCAAAAATAGATATAGGTGTCAATCACAGTGAGGAATCAGCTGGTGATCTTAGAAAAATTCACAGCCCGCTGTTCATTTGCAGCCCACTAATGCGCAAGCGCACCCTTTACTATACAAGGGCTCTCAATATCTGGCGAGCTGACAACATAGACCCTGCGTATTGCCGCGGGAGGCACCGCCCCCCCCCCGGGGGGGGGAGGAAAGATCGGACGCTTCTTCTTCTTCTCTTTCTCCCTAGCGTAGTCCCGCGCAGTCGCAGGGTCCGCTGGAAAATCGGACGCATGCAGAGGAGGACAGAGCGTAGGGATAGTAAGCGTATGTTTATGGACTCTGGCACAAAAGGAAGCCATGCAAGCGATGCCGGAATCACGCCCTCATTCGCAGTGCCAATATTTGCATGTTTCCACAGAGGCTTAAGACATTCAAATGTAGGTAGAGTCACCTGGAAATAAGGAGTACTCTGTGGGCTCAACATGTGCATGTTCACTGATGCTGCTCCTGCCGACTCTCCAAACAAGGTGATTCTGGTTGGATCTCCACCAAATACATCGATGTTTTCATGCACCTGAAACGAAGCTATCATAGTCTCAACCCCAGCGCTGATCTCTATTCGTAACTGGAGGTGTTCAAGGTTAGGACACACTTATGCTGACAGCATCTACGAAGAGGGAAAACTTATAGGGGTACAAGAAAAAAATTACAATCATGAACACTGTGGCGCTCTCTCACTACTCTCAGTACAGGCAGTGTTCAGTGCAGTGGTTGGAGGGGCTGCGGTTTTGACGAGGTCATTGAAGGTCACTTGTGGAACTCGGGCGTCAAGGAGGATAAGGATAAGGTCCACGATAAGGTCAAAGGCCGCAGAATCGGAGACATACCTTGTGGAAAGGCTTGAGGGTGCGGACCGGCACGCAATTCGCAGCGAACGATAAGCTCCCGGCGATCTAGCATGGGCTTCCCCACGACGTCGACCACTCGACTCGCATAGCCATTGCCGCCTCTAGTAATATTAGCCAGAGAAGCGTTACCGCTGAAGAGGACAGCACCAATGAAAGCCGCACCAGCTAGAAAATTAACGGGTAACTGAGGGGGCCTCATTTCTGGGTTCTGGCCGATTCTCACGGTTATTTCTTCATCCTGGCACCACTGAATACCTCGATTCCAATGGGCTGCCTTCTACCTCGTATGCTTCAGGCCTTCAGGACGGCCAACCTCACCAACCAGGGCACTATGAGGTCCTGGTCATCAAGAAGTTCTTCAAAAACTTGCACGCTCCTCAACAAGTGAATCACTACTTTGGTGTGGTAACGGAGCCGGCTCACGTTTGCCTAAAACCTCACATCCATGCACACAATTCAGATCGTTCATCATCACTCGCATAAAACCACAAAAGTGAGGAGATTGCATAGTGCAATTGTACAGTAAAAAAAANACAATAATACCGTCATNAGAACTGGCTTGTCCGAGTAGAAGCCGTGGATGATTTATTGAATTTCCTCTATTAAAGCATCCATTAACACGTTGACGACATCGCGCGTTTTGGCATTTTTGGCCGCGTGGGACCAGAGCGGTTCTGCGAGCGCCGCCGCCTCACAACAAATCTGTGGATTTTGAGCTTTAAATACGCAATACTTCGATGCGACAAAATGTTTTCACTGATATTCGGTGTGTCAAACTTATTGGAAGGTACACATGTGAAAGTGCGGTCGAATGATGTGTTACAGCATTGAAAAGGCAAGTTTCACTTACTTTTGCTTTAGTGATTTCAAAATTATTTTGGACGTGGTTGTTTCGGTAAAAACACATATCTTGCCACACGAGTAGCTTTGTACTCACTTCTAATATTCTTTTTTATCTACATGTTCGTGTTAATGAAGAGAAAATGAGGAATGAACTGAACGGATATTTTCGTCCGGTCCGAAAAACCTCTGCCAAACTAAAGAATATTTGGTCATTCTATAAGCCGCGTGGTTCTTGGTTATGTTGTGGTATGGCCTAAAAAATGAACACAAAAAACCTGGGAAGAAATGGCGCGTTCAAGAAAAAACTGAATGTAAAGGGTGTGGCAACTATAGTTGCCACAATGTCCATTGCGGCGTGCAAAACGCGGCAAACCTAGTTGCCGCGCTGTCGTCAAGGTGTTAAAACTTCATCAGAAAGTGTGCTCGAAACTGACCCATTTCAACGCCAGTTGCTGATCCCAAAGACCCATGTTTCCTGGTGCCTCGCGTTTCCCCAAATAGAGGAATCCAAGCACCGATACGCGATAGTTCATCGAAACCAGGATAACATTTTCCTCTCTGTAAAATTCACATGATATAAAAAACCAGCGTAGGCTAGATCACGAATGAAATGCTGCAGTAGGAAATTGATTCAAATTCAAATTTTAATGGTAACACCACGTTGTCTCATTTACTGCCTTCCGTATAGTTATGTATATCTACATAGTTTGTAAACCAACATTATCTGCACCATGATGGAAACGGAATAGATGAAATAATCTTTCTGAATACTCTCGTCGTTTGAACGTTTTGAAAACGTTCAAAACAAAGCGCTTATGGTGCTCTCAACATGGTACGCGGAATATCTGCAAAATATGAGGTTCCACCCATCTACAGAACACCGGTTCTCGTCACTTGCAATGTTTGAACGCTCCATCTGCCTTAAGCTTTGTAGGTGTAACGGCGTCCTTTTCCTTTGCTTGCAAGTCCGAGGTTCAAGCGAACTGAATAGTACTGAAGCAATGATCCAGTTCTTGGTAACACTGAATGCGCTTGAAGAGAGCAATGAAATAAGATCGCGCCTGACTTCAGAATTGAATTCCTGTTGAGATCCAAATGCATCTTTCCATGTTTGGAAATACACAGAGCAAAACGTAAAGAGTATGTGGTTTGACAAAGTGAAATAAGCCTACACGCTCTAAAATTTGATCTTCTTCGAAGTGGAAATCGTTCCAAGCGAAATTAATGGGCTTTCAGGGTTCCCGCCTCTTCTCAAAGCCAAGTAAGAACAAAAATTTCTGAAAAAGCTGCTCGGTGGTGAAGAATAACCGATTGCGGTATTTGCCTTCCTGATACTCAAGGAACGGTAATCTAATACATACTTATGCCTTTGCTCGATCATCATAAACTGTGGGTAACCTTATCGGCGTTACCGAACTTCAAAAGTAGATTCACTCTATGTCGTGCCTGGACTCCCTGCTCCTCGCATTTCGGCACGGAAGCCTTGTGGCTCTTCTGGAGGAGGAGCAGCGTCAAATGCGCCCTAGCGAGAGAGTGCAGTAAAGGATTAGACGTTGGGCATTTCGATGGTGGGAGAGTGTTCGACAATAGTCGAAAATCTAGCAGTCAGCCATGCTCATTACAATGTCAAAGAGCAAACCCTACCGTACAGTGGTTGCGGGAAGCACATGGTACTCCACTGAACTAACAGCAAAAAGCTTGGCTTTTAAATTAGCAACTACATCAAAACGCTTTAGATGAAGGAACTTCAACTTTTTGACGTGACCTCTGCAAGCAAGCGCAGCATTGATATATCTGAATATACGAGGTGTTAGGGCGGAAGTGGTGTAGTGGCAAGTGGCACGCTTACCACGCGAGCGGTCCGGGGATCAAATCCTGGGTCGTGAGTCGCCCGGGCCAACCAAGCCTTCCATCCCTCCGGGGTCGGTTAATTGGTACCAGACTTGTCTGGGAGGATAAAAAACACTGACTTGTACATCGGCTGGCCCCGCAAGTCATTGTATAGGCCACATCGCATTCAAACGCCACTACGAATGTACAAATGGAAGTAGAATGCGTGCCGCATCCCAAAAAGGGATTGATCAACGGCAAATGCTTTATCCTTTATCCTTTTTTATATGAGGTGTTAGTTAATTATCGATTTGGTAGGTTTACTACTCGTCAAGAGAATTATTGCTGGACCGTGAATAACGGCGATAGCTTCAATTAATATGACATTGATGAACTGAAGGGAGTTCATCAGATCCTCCGCGGTCGAAAGTGTTCCAAGAACTCCAAGGATTCTAGTGAGGCTTACAATGCTACACTATAGCTGAGGATCGTGCAAACAATTCCAGTTTGCATGGAGCAGCCAATCCAATGGACTACGCTCAAGTGAAGCAAATGATACTGTGATGCTGGCCGCTCGGCGTTGAGGTGTGGGGCCAAAGAATGAAAAAAAGACTTAAAAGAAATTTACACTGGCAGAGTTTTTCCATCGTAAACTTCTAACGTGGACGTTCCCGAATAGAATCCTCCTCCATATACCCAAACCATTACAGCAAGTCTTTTATTCGGATCGACCTAAAAGCAGTACCAGTCTTTCAAGTCCGACTTCATGTCCTTTTAGCGTATGTAACCTTCGAGTTATTCTAGTGTTTGGACAGACTCACTTCTGACGTTGGAGTGTTGCGTGCTCTAGTCGCCCAGAAAAATATTCAAAGTACGTATCGGAACCTGATGGGGAAGTAATATTGTTTACTATGGCCAGAATGTAAGCGCAGGTAAGGCATGCTAAGAAACAAATATTATTTTATAGTTACTTTAAGATTTGTTTTTTCTCGTTTGAGTAATATCACTAAGGTAGTCGTTCAACGCTCGATGTTATTGCTGTGTGGACAAGGCAACTGTACCTTGGCATTTCGAAATTTTACGACCCCCCTCCGGACCCTTGGAGGGCCTTTTTCCTCAGCCACTCCCATCCCCACAATCGCCCTGCCATTGGGCGATTATTTAGTATTGTTCGATGAGGGAGGGGGATTGTATTATGGAACGTGAAACGCAAATTTTTAAACGCCAAGTAACACAGAAAGCATAGTATAAGAATTCCACTATGCGTTCATAAAAAAACTCTTTCCCTTGCTGTAACATTGACGCTCCTGCGAAACAGCTCTTGGTTCACCTAGATACGACCCCTGTTGGACTGTTGTCACGGGAGGTTGACTGGCTGTGACTGTGTTATCTCTAGATGAACGACAAAGTGATTTCTCCTCTAGAACTTTAAGAGTACCATCCGCAATGGCTTTTGAGTGCAAGTCTTGGTGTTACCGTTGATGGACAGCTGCAGTACTTTGGTAGTACACGTTGATGACACGCCTGATATCTGTGGTTTGTTGCTCGCGCATACCCGCTGATCACAGACAAACGGGTATTGTAACAACATATGCTGTCATGATCCTGCAGATTGCAATCGCAACTCTTGAAACGCTCAAAACTATGTGCTACGAATTGCGGCTCGCGTGATCAGTATCGTGTGCTTTAGGACTATTCCATGCAAATTTCGCGTTAGTTAGACATACCACTCGAGAACAACGTTTGCATGATATTTGACATGATTCAATGAGTTTGCGCATTAGGGGAAAGATGTTGCGCCATTTTTGCGCGCCGATGAAGCATCATTCCACATGCTCTTGTGTTCACGGTCGCGTAATTCACACAGTTCTTAATTGCACTATCATTCTCAGTACCTGTATGCAAGAGTTTGGTAGGGTAGTTGCATTTAGTGGACTCCTCCATGGCTGTTTAGGTTCTGGCTTTTGGAACCTAAAATCACTGAAGGTAATGTGTTAATTTAAAGAGGCATTGTGTACCATGAACGTGCATGGTATACAAGGAACATATAGAACATAAAAACAGTATCTCGACAAACCGTAGGTTTCCAATGGGTGGTTCAGCAAAAGGGATTCCAAGAAATTGTGTCAAGCTTTTGCCATTCGGCGATGTCACTTCTTCTCCAAAAAGCGGCGATCCGTCATGGAGATATATCAAATCGAGTGCCCATGACTTAAAGTAGTAAACATTGGAACACAAATTATCCAGCAAATTTGTTCTACTTCTTTCTTCTGTGCTCATACAGAAGCAACCAGAAAATGTACACTTGGAGGAGGTGAGAGGATTCTTTTCTGACTAGCGGGAATTGGTTTCCTCAAGGATCATCAGTCCGTATGAATCTTCTCAACGGGAGAGGTCGTATTTGAAATTCCAGGAAGGAGGCTATTTGACAGACATGTAGATTGAAAACTTGCGACCGTGCCTGTGCACGGGCCTTGACATCCTATTTTGAATTGCTTTCAAACCATCAACATCTCCCCCATCAACTAATGGATACACTATTTTCTTGATCCGATATGTAGAGGGGCAGCTATGGGAACATG